TTGACCCAGAAATCGCAAAGTGTGGTAATGATACCAAAATAACACAACACCGTCTTTTCGCATCCATATGCGTAGAAAGACGACGAATAAGCTTTGATTGGGCTTATTTCAATTCGCATGGTGTTTTTTGTGTGTGCACCAGAATCACCTCTAACCAAAGGAAAAAGGTGTTTAGGGTTCCATCTACATAAAAAGAAGATGATAAAGCTCTGATTGGGCTTATTTCAAATTAGTGTTTTTGGGGTTAGAATGCACATTCACCCAAAAATCGCAGAGTGACATGTTTGTTATCAGCCCAAATCAAGCATACGTGTTTTGGTTCCATCTCAATAGAAAAAGGACGAATAAACTTGGATTGCTCTTTCGGTGTTCATTCATCCACAAATAGCAAAGCGATGTGTAATAAGCCTAAAGAAGGCCAATCAGGTTGTTTTGGGTTCCAGCTACATAGAAAGAAGAATATTGGATTGGGCTCATTTCAAGTTGTGTTCTTTGGTGTTGACCCAAAAATCGCAAAGTGTGTGTAATGAGAACAAAATAACACAACACCATATTTTCGCTTCCAAATGCGTAGAAAGATGACGAATAAGCTTTGATTGGGCTTATTTCAATTCGCATGGTGTTTTTTGGGTGTGCACCAGTATGACCCCAAACAAAACCAAAAAGTTGTTTTGGCTTCCATCTACATAAAAAGAAGATAATTAAGCTTGATTGGGCTTATTTGAAATTGTTGTTGTTGGGTTAGAATGCACATTCAGAAAAAAATCGTAAAGTGACATGTTTATTAGCAGCCCAAATCAAGCATAGGTGTTTTGGTTCCATCTCAATAGAGGACGAATAAGCTTGGATTGTTTTTTCGTTGTTCATTCGCCCACAAATAGCAAAGCGAAGTGTAATAAGCCTAAACAAAGCCAAACAGGTTGTTTTGGGTTCCAGCTACATAGAAAGAAGAATCTTGGATTGGGCTTATTTCAAGTTGTGTTCTTTGCTTTTAATGCACATTGACCCAGAAATCGCAAAGTGTGTGTAATGAGACCAAAATAACACAACACCATTTTTTCGCTTCCATATGCATAGAAAGAAGACGAATAAGCTTTGATTGGGCTTATTTCAATTCGCATGGTGTTTTTTGTGTATGCACCAGAATCACCTCCAACCAAAGGAAAAAGGTCTTTAGGGTTCCATCTACATAAAAAGAAGATGATAAAACTCTGATTGGGCTTATTTCAAATTAGTGTTTTTGGGGTTAGAATGCATATTCACCCAAAAATCGCAGAGTGACATGTTTGTTATCAGCCCAAATCAAGTATAGGTGTTTTGGTTCCATCTCAATAGAAAAAGGACGAATAAACTTGGATTGCTCTTTCGGTGTTCATTCATCCACAAATAGCAAAGCGATGTGTAATAAGCCTAAAGAAGGCCAATCAGGTTGTTTTGGGTTCCAGCTACATAGAAAGAAGAATCTTGGATTGGGCTCATTTCAAGTTGTGTTCTTTGGTGTTGACCCAAAAATCGCAAAGTGTGTGTAATGAGACCAAACTAACACAACACCATCTTTTCGCTTCCATATGCGTAGAAAGATGACGAATAAGCTTTGATTGGGCTTATTTCAATTCGCATGGTGTTTTTTGGGTGTGCACCAGAATCACCCCAAACAAAACCAAAAAGTTGTTTTGGCTTCCATCTACATAAAAAGAAGATAATTAAGCTCTGATTGGGCTTATTTCAAATTGTTGTTGTTGGGTTAGAATGCACATTCAGAAAAAAATCGTAAAGCGACATGTTTATTAGCAGCCCAAATCAAGCATATGTGTTTTGGTTGCATCTCAATAGAAAGAGGACGAATAGGCTTGGATTGTTTTTCCTTGTTCATTCACCCACCAATAGCAATGTGAAGTGTAATAAGCCTAAAAAAAGGCACAGGTTGTTTTGGGTTCCAGCTACATAGAAAGAAGAATCTTGTATTGGGTTTATTTCAAGTGTTCTTTGGTGTTACTGCACATTGACCCAGAAATCGCAACGTGTGTGTAATGAGACCAAAATAACACAACACCGTCTCTCCGCTTCCATATGCGTAGAAAGACGACGAATAAGCTTTGATTGGACTTTTTTCAATTCGCATGGTGTTTTTTTGTGTGTGCACCAGAATCACCTCTAACCAAAGGAAAAAGGTGTTTTGGCTTCCAGCTACATAAAAAGAAGATAATTAAGCTCTGATTGAGCTTATTTCAAATTGCCTGTTTTTGGGGTTAGAATGCACATTCACCCAAAAATCGCAGTGACATGTTTATTAGCAGCCCAAATCAAGCATACGTGTTTTGGTTCCATCTCAATAGAAAAAGGAGGAATAAGCTTGGATTGTTTTTTCGTTATTCATTCACCCACAAATAGCAAAGCGATGTGTAATAAGCCTAAACAAAGCCAAACAGGTTCTTTTGGGTTCCAGCTACATAGAAAGAAGAATCTTGGATTGGGCTTATTTCAAGTTGTGTTCTTTGGTGTTAATGCACTTTGACCCAAAAATCGCAAAGTGTGTGTAATGAGACCAAACTAACACAACACCATCTTTTCGCTTCCATATGCGTAGAAAGACGACGAATAAGCTTTGATTGGGCTTATTTCAATTCGCATGGTGTTTTTTGGCTGTGCACCAGAATGACCCCAAACAAAACCAAAAAGTTGTTTTGGCTTCCAGCTACATAAAAAGAAGATAATTAAGCTCTGATTGGGTTTATTTCAAATTGGTGTTGTTGGGTTAGAATGCACATTCAGACAACGTAAAGTGACATGTTTATTAGCAGCCCAAATCAAGCATAGGTGTTTTGGTTGCATCTCAATAGAAAAAGGAGGAATAAGCTTGGATTTTTTTTTCGTTATTCATTCACCCACAAGTAGTAAAGCGATGTGTAATAAGCCTAAAGAAAGCCAAACAGGTTCTTTTGGGTTCCAGCTACATAGAAAGAAGAATCTTGGATTGGGCTTATTTCAAGTTGTGTTCTTTGGTCATAATGCACATTGACCCAAAGATCGCAAAGTGTGTGTAATGAGACCAAACTAACACAACACCATCTTTTCGCTTCCATATGCGTAGAAAGATGACGAATAACCTTTGATTGGACTTTTTTCAATTCGCATGGTGTTTTTTGTGTGTGCACCAGAATCACCTCCAACCAAAGGAAAAAGGTGTTTTGGCTTCCAGCTACATAAAAAGAAGATAATTAAGCTCTGATTGGGCCTATTTCAAATTGCCTGTTTTTGGGCTTAGAATGCCCATTCACCCAAAAATCGCAGTGACATGTTTATTAGCAGCCCAAATCAAGCATAGGTGTTTTGGTTCCATCTCAATAGAAAAAGGACGAATAAGCTTGGATTGTTTTTTCGTTATTCATTCGCCCACAAATAGCAAAGCGAAATGTAATAAGCCTAAACAAAGCCAAACAGGTTGTTTTGGGTTCCAGCTACATAGAAAGAAGAATCTTAGCTTTCGCTCATTTCAAGTCGTTTACTTTGGTGTTAATGCACATTGACCCAGAAATCGCAAAGTGTGTGGAACGAGACCAAAATAACACAACACCGTCTTTTCGCTTCCATATGCGTAGAAAGACGACGAATAAGCTTTGATTGGGCTTAATTCAATTCGCATGGTGTTTTTTGGGATTTGCACCAGAATCACCTCTAACCAAAGGAAAAAGGTGTTTTGGGTTCCATCTACATAAAAAGAAGATGATAAAGCTCTGATTGGGCTTATTTCAAATTAGTGTTTTTGGGGTTAGAATGCACATTCACCCAAAAATCGCAGAGTGACGTTTGTTATCAGCCCAAATCAAGCATAGGTGTTTTGGTTCCATCTCAATAGAAAAAGGACGAATAAACTTGGATTGCTCTTTCGGTGTTCATTCATTCACAAATAGCAAAGCGATGTGTAATAAGCCTAAAGAAGGCCAATCAGGTTGTTTTGGGTTCCAGCTACATAGAAAGAAGAATCTTGGATTGGGCTCATTTCAAGTTGTGTTCTTTGGTGTTGACCCAAAAATCGCAAAGTGTGTGTAATGAGACCAAACTAACACAACACCATCTTTTCGCTTCCATATGCCTAGAAAGACGACGAATAAGCTAGAAAGGGGACGCATACTCCTAAAATATTTTGTGAATGTACTTTTGTCCATTTACTGTATTTATTTTCCCGGTTTGAACTATAAAATGGTGATTTTCTTGAGTCAAAATGAGAGTACCCCCAATCATTTTTTTTTAGAAAAGAAGCACTGCATATACATATACATATATCCATTTTATTTTTATATATTTACAAACGGACACCTATATCTAGGTATGTATATTCTTGTATATAAACTTCCGCGGCCCACCCGCACCATCCCTCCGCCAAGGGGCACGAGAGAAAGGCAGGTGAGGACGAGGCGGGGGGCAGAGCTGCATCCTGGGGAGAGCGGGGTCGAGAGGGAGTGGGCTGGAGAAAGAGAGAGGGCCAGCCTGGCTCGGCACGTCTCTGCTGGCCCAACGTCGCAGCGCCTCTTCCGCCGTTTCCCCTCCCCTTCCTGTGCTCATGCTTCTCCTCCGGTGGCACCTCCTTCCGGTAATCCTACCCTCGCCCAACATGGCGGCAGCACAGCCTCTTCCGCCCGTTTCCCTCCCCTTCCTGTGCTCATGCCTCTCCTCCGGTGGCACGTCCTTCCGGTACCACTGCCCTCGCCCAACATGGCGGCAACACAGCCTCTTCCTCCCATTTTCCTCCCCTTCCTGTCCTTTTGCCTCTCCTCCGGTTGCACGTCCTTCCGGTACCCCTGCTCTCGCCCAACATGGCGGCAACACAGCCTCTTCCGCCCTTTTCCCTCCCTTTCCTGTCCTCTTGCCTCTCCTCCGGTGGTACGTCCTTCCGGTACCCCTGCCCTCGCCCAACATGGCGGCAACACTGCCTCTTCCGCCCATTTCCCTCCTCTTCCTTTCCTCTTGCCTCTCCTCCGGTGGCACCTCCTTCCGGTACCCCTGCCCTCGCCCAACATGGCGGCAGCACAGCCTCTTCCGCCCTTCCGAGCCAGGAGTGCAGAAAAAGGTGAAACTGCCATGAAAAGGAGAGGAGGAGTGTGTGAGTGAGTGAGTGAGTGAGAGTGAGACAGAGACAAGGAGCATCCTAGTAGAGATGGAAGGGGAACCCAAGGGTCATCTAGTCCAACCCTCTGCAAAGAAGCTCAGAGCTACAATTCCCAGGTCTTCTTTGGGAATTCTATGGGAAGTAAGAGTTTCTACATTCATGAGCATTCACTTAGAGTGCGCTCATGTTTTTACCTTTTATTGAAAGCGGCCACAAGTGACTTGGGTGGAGTATAAATAATAAAATTATATTGCTCCTGCTGCTGTTCTTCTCTTAGCCTAACTCAAATCCAACCCAATACCAAACCTTAACCCTAATGCTCACCCTAACTCAAACCTAATCCTCACTCTAACCCTAACCTTAACCCAAACCTAAGCCTCAGTCTAAACCTAAGCCTAATTTAACCCTAACCTTAAGTAATAAAATTATATTTCTCATGCTGCTGTTCTTCTCTTACCGTAACTCAACCCCAACTCTAACTCCTAATCCTAATCCAACTCAAACCCAACTCTCACTGTAACCCTAACCTTTACCCAAACCTAATCCTAAACGCTTTGCTTCTTTTTGTGGTGTTTTGTGTTATTGCTTCATTTTGTAGGTCATGAGGCTTTCTTTGTTTCTTGTGGTGTTGCTTCATTTAGCAGTTTTTTAATTGGCTCTTGTGTTTCTTTTGGTATTGCATCATCTTCATAGGTTGTTTGGATTTCTGATTAATTTGCTTTGGATTTCTGGTAGCTCTGCTTCTTTATGATTTGTTTCTGTGTTTCTGGTGTTTTGGCTTGGTTATGTCATAAAATTGAAGAAATACCACCAGAAGCACAAAAACCAAGAAATATTCCCAAAATGAGGCAAAACCAGGAGACATGAAAACCAAGAAACAATCTCACCCAGAACCGCAGAACCATTCAAAGTAAAAGAAGCAAAACAATTGCAAAAAACAAGCAAAACCACCCCAAATTAAACAAATCAGCAGAAAACAAAAAAGAAGCAGTAAAGCCACCAATTACAAAGCAATGCCACAAGAAACTGGAAACCAGTTTTTAAAAAGCAAAACCAGAAACTCAACAAGCATGCAATTTATGGGAGTCCAAAAGCACTTCAAGCAACAGAAATTAACCAACATAGCATACTAGTTTTCACTTAGTCTTGGGTTTCTGGTGAATGTGCTTCGTTTGCAGCTGGCTTCATTTCTTTTCCATTGGTTTAGCTTGTTTTTTGGACTTTTGCTTTATTGCTTCTTTTGAGAAGTTTTATTGTTTTTGCATTCTGGTGGTAATACTTTTGAATGCTTTGGGGGTTTCTGGTGAATCTGCTTTGTTTGGGATTGGTTGGCTTCTTTGTCAGTTTCCATTGATGTTGCTTTTACATGGTTCTTCTGCTTCTTTTCAGTAGGTTTTTGTGTTTTTAGTGCTTGACTTCATTGTTGGAATGGTCATTAGACATTTCTGGTGGTTTTGCTTCATTTCTCATGGTTTTCCTTTTATTCTTGGGATTATCAGATCTCATACAAATTAATATTCTCAAAGGTGCAAAACCCAAAAAACCTAGAAATGAAGCAAACTCACCATAAATCCAGCACCCAATCTGTTATGTACTAACCTTGGATCCTAGAATGCAACAACTGATTGGTCTTTTCCTGCAGGCCAATCAGGCTCCAAGAGGGAAGCAGAGTTAGCCAGTCAGACGGGACTCATTGTGTAAATAATGTATATAAAAGCCTGAGGTTGGGGGGGTGGCAATAAAGAGCATGAAATACATACAAGACTCTGAGTATATTTCACAATCGTAATTTATATAAAAGAATCTATGAAACGAAAACCACAGAAAAAATTCAACATAATCCCAAAAACAAACCAGAAACAACAGAAACAAACCACATCCACCAAAGATGAGAAAACCAATTGAATAGAACCACAAGAAACCCACGCAGTAAACATCTCAGGGAAAAGCAAAATCACCCCCACACCATGCAAAACTAAGGTTTAACTGGCTTTGGGGTTTCTGCGCAATTTACTTTTCCCCTCTTGTTGGGGGTTTCTGGTGGTATTTCTTCTGCTTCTCACATTTCTGCTTCTTTTCCATTGGTTTTGGGATTCTGGTGAATTTGGTAATGATTTGATTGAAGTCTCTGTCTGGCGATTTTCCTTTTTCATGAATTCCTTCCTTGTTGGGTTTCTGGTATCTCACTTTTGGTTTTCACATTTCTCTTAGTTTTGCTACGTTTCAGGTAGTTTGCTTACTTTTTGGAATTATCCAGTCTCATAAAAATGAAGCAATATCATTAGAAGCTTAAAAAGCATGAAAAAAACCCCAGGCACTAACCCTAACCCTGAACATCCACCTATCCCCTGCCCTAACCCTAACCCTGATATTCTGGTCATCCATCTTGGGGATAACAATCTGGTGAGGTAAATTCAGTTGAGATCACTAAATATCTCCATCAGCTGTGCTTCCTCATCCTTGAGCTTATCATAGTTTGGTTTGGAATGTTGTAGAGGTGCTTATGGAGTGGGGGCAGCCTTCCTAAGAAGGTGGATGAGCAAGACATAAAGCTAATCATTCTACAATGACGTTTGTGTCTGAAAATGTGGGTGCTTATATCCCTCATGGCAGAGTTATGTTCTGTGCCCCACAGTTGTATAGACCTGGTGGTATGCATCTTTCTGATTTGGGTTGTGACATGATTCTTAAGGATCTGCAAAGAGCTCTGTTTGAGCACTTGTGTGTTTGTGGGTGGAGGTGAACAAGCACACCTGCCCAGACTTAGAATCATAGAATCATAGAGTTGGAAGAGACCACAAGGGCCATCGAGTCCAACCCCCTGCCAAGCAGGAAACACCATCAGAGCACTCCTGACATATGGTTGTCAAGCCTCTGCTTAAAGACCTCCAAAGAATGAGACTCCACCACACTCCTTGGCAGTAAATTCCACTGTCGAACAGCTCTTACTGTCAGGAAGTTCTTCCTAATGTTTAGGTGGAATCTTCTTTCTTGTAGTTTGGATCCATTGCTCCGTGTCCGCTTCTCTGGAGCAGCAGAAAACAACCTTTCTCCCTTCTCTATGTGACATCCTTTATATATTTGAACATGGCTATCATATCACCCCTTAACCTCCTCTTCTCCAGGCTAAACATGCCCAGCTCCCTTAGCCGTTCCTCATAAGGCATCGTTTCCAGGCCTTTGACCATTTTGGTTGCCCTCCTCTGGACACGTTCCAGTTTGTCAGTGTCCTTCTTGAACTGTGGTGCCCAGAACTGGACACAGTACTCCAGGTGAGGTCTGACCAGAGCAGAATACAGTGGCACTATTACTTCCCTTGATCTAGATGCTATACTCCTATTGATGCAGCCCAGAATTGCATTGGCTTTTTAGCTGCCGCGTCACACTGTTGGCTCATGTCAAGTTTGTGGTCAACCAAAACTCCTAGATCCTTTTCACATGTACTGCTCTCAAGCCAGGTGTCCCCATCTTGTATTTGTGTCTCTCATTTTTTTGCCCAAGTGCAATACTTTACATTTCTCCCTGTTAAAATTCATCTTGTTTGTTTTGGCCCAGTTCTCTAATCTGTCAAGGTCGTTTTGAAGTGTGATCCTGTCCTCTGGGGTGTTAGCCACCCCTCCCAGTTTGGTGTCATCTGCAAATTTGATCAGGATGCCCTTGAGTCCATCATCCAATTTGATTTGGTTACATTGGTCAAATCTGACTAGTTTTGCCGATCCTCAAGTTGTTATATTTAATAAATATTTAATAAATACAACCTATTTATCCACTTTTGGTTGTCTTGACTCTTCCTCCTGATGTGCTAGGAACCACTCCGTTTGGGGGGCACTGCAAAACATGCGGTTTTTACTGCAAACATTTGCCAGACTTTGGCCTTGATTTGGAGTGAATCAGGCGATGTTGGGTTTTGGGGTGACCTTATGACCCCTGTCACTTACTTGGTTTGTCGGGCAAAATGCTACAAAAATGCTACAATGTCTGGCAAAATGCTACAAAACTTTTGCCAGACTTTGGCACCAGTTTGGAGTGAATCGGACAATGTTGGGTTTTGGATATTAATTATGAACCCCGGTTTGATGTATCAATTACTCTGTTTATGGGGTGTTACAAAATGTGGGGGTTTTGCTGCAAAACTTTTGCCAAACATCAGTTTTGATGGGATCCCAGATTTGGGGGTTTGTAGTTAAATGAAGCATTCTTTCAGTGCTTCTCGGGAAATGTGCAGTTTCCGTCAGATCAAACTAATACTACTGGATAAAATTATATGATTGTTGATTATCAGACAGTTCTCCCATTTATCAAGGAAAACGTCTGTTATGGGTGGCTTTTGCTTGGTGTGTGTGACTGTTGACAGACAGATTTGAAAAGGAACACAGCTTCCTCTGTTTGTCTCACAGTAACTTACTGGCCTTTTTGATTATGCAGTCGGTGCGTCTTGTGGTCTGGTGCGTCTTATAGAGCGAAAAATACGGTAATTCCAGTTGATTTGTTTTAATGGTCACATAAAGGCACTTTCTTTGGTTATAAAATGATGTTGTGAGTCTTATATCTGAGCAGTCAATAAACTCCCTCCCCCACAGAAACGCTTGTCTTACTTCTTCTTCTTCTTGGCATCCATACTTACATGTTTGTTTAAAGAAAGACTAACCCCACCCTGAACCCCACCTCCAGCTTTCATCTTATTATTCTAGTGACTAGTCAGTGTTCATAGCAACACTTGCTTTTGTTCCTAGACAAACTGCCCTGAAAGACAGTTACTATGAACTACATGTGTCTTCTTGATATATAAGGTTGTTGCTAGTTTCTGCAAAACACTTCTTTATCTTTCAACAAGAAATAAATGAATAGGAGGCTGCTCTAAGGAAGAAGTGTGATTGCATCTGGAATATCAGACTCTCTGTATTTTTATTTATTTACTTGATTTAGGGGTGGCCACTTCACCCCCTGGCTATGCCCATGTCCCCAACTAACTGAGCTTCTTGGGATCATCCTGCCATGCTGTGAGCTACTACATTATCCGGCACTTTACAGAACCTTCCTTAGAGAATAAAAACCTGAGGCGAATTTCAAGTCTAAACAGGCTACACAAAAAGAAACAGCAGCGATTCTTTATGTTTGACTTGTGCTTGAGCGCCTGATATCTCAGAAAATCAACATCAGTGTTGGGGTGGGTGGGTCAGGGCATTACCAAAATGTTATGATAGATGGAGCCATGGATGTGGCCAAGGGGGGCCAAATAAATAAAAATAAATAAAAATACATAGCTAACTGAGGTTCTGACCCCCTAACAAAAGGCCTGCCCCCACTAACAAAAATCCTGGCTACGCCCATGGATGAAGCCAACTACAGTAACTCTGGTTTTGTCCCCACCCAGAAGTGTAGCATGTGTGGGCCGTGGGGGCACAAATTTGTGGCAGGGGGCACAAACAGGTGCCCCCAAAGCAGGCTCCCTCATTGGTGCCTGGCTCCGCGTGAGAAGGAGCTGACCTAAGCTGCTGTGCGTCTGCTGGCCACAGCTCTGTCCTTAGGTTAGGCCTGACCCAGGGAAGAGAGCAGGAGGGTGGGTGGCCGCAGTGCACCTCGCTCCCAGTCACAGCAGCAGCTCCGCCTCCGGGTCACGTCTGACCTGGCGCACTCAAGGAGCCTGAGCAGCAGCTTCCCTCCCCCTCTCCTCCCCTGGACATGTGGGGCATGCCCCTCTCCCCTCGTTGAGTTCTGCAAAGGCAGCCCTGAGACTGAGGAGGAAAGAGCTCACTGCTCATGCCAACCCTAGAGAGGATGTAAGAAAGAAGCAGGCTGTTGGAGGACAGCCAAGAAACAATTGAGCTTGGTGGAGCAGTGCCCCAGTCCCCCTTAAGGACAAGCCTCCACTGACAGGGAGCAAGAAGGAATTTTAAATGGCGAAAGACAGGAGTGCCTGGCGTGCTCTGGTCCATGGGTCACGAAGAGTCAGACACGACTAAACGACTACACAACACAATATTGGCATGGGAACTAAAATAGCTCAATGTTGCAATTTGTCTACCCTACTTAATATTTACCATTAAGGAAAGTATAAAGTCATGGAGTAAATCCTTTCAGCTTGTTGATGTGAAGCAGCAGACCTCAATCTGATACTGCAAATGTTATAGAATTATTGAATATTCAGAAGTATACCTCTCCACCACTCCTTAGTCAGGCTAGTTTTGGGCATTTATGGCAAGATTATCCCAAGTGGAAAGGAATAATGTATTTTCACTGTTATGTATTCAGTGGTCTGTCTTTGCTTCCCATTGTCTCAGGAATTGGGTAATTACCATCTCAAAGGAATGGCCAGACTACCAGGAAAGGCAATCAGATAAGGCATTATCAGATAACCTGGCAGACAGGAAAAACAACGTTCACATTTCTATTGTAGAAATTTCCCTTTTCTGTGATGTAGGTATGATGTTTGTGGGGGTGGTCTTGAGTTCCAGGGTAGGGAATTTCAAAATGGCAAGCAGACATTGTTCGCAGTCCTCCTCCTCTCTCCTGCGTGTGGGTGGAGCACCCTGTTGCAACAGTTTAATAAAGATCAGGCTTACTAGCTGCTTTGCTTCTCAATATTCTCTGGTTGGCCTCTGTTATTTTCTCCTACCGATGGAGAACCTACAAGGTTCTCCAATAAAGGAATAAGGGCAGATTTTGTTTACAACAACACAAAGCCATCTGAAACTGTCGAATAAACTGCAAGAGCAGCAATAGAAAATTGCTTTCACACACTAAAAGTTCCCTGCAACTAGAAAGCCAGCAAAGCAGGGGAAAGGCTAGCTTTTTTAATTGACAAGTACCTTCTCTATGATGTGGTAGGCTTTGGTTTTTACGCATAGAAGTGTTATTCCCCACCTGTAGCTTGAGGTAGTATGGTCCATTTGGCCACCTCATTCTGCTGCATATGGTGATTGCTGGAATTTTTAATTCTTAAGGAAACATTGTGTCTATTTTTCCCACATGAGATGTTTCTTTACTTATATCAATAATGTTATGAAAGACTTGTAGCATGCTTCAAGCTGATTAGCACTTGGTGGCTGTGAAGCTTTAAATACAAAACAGACACATAGTGAAAGGATTTCTACACACTGAATTTTTTATTTATTTCACAGAGCAATTGCTTTCAGCTTTGCAGAGGAGCCCGTAGTAGCCAAACTACAGTACTTCCGGGAGAGCTGTGAAGCAGAGCTCCCTCCACTGGCTCTGCTGTGACAGGACAGCTCCCTCAGGCCTCCTCTCCCCACAACTGTTATCTGGGGCAGCCATCAGTGGGAGAGCTTTGCTGGAGGCCCAGCTCCTTCAGGCACCTCCAGCCCCTGAACTGTGCCAGCTGGTCAACATAGGAACAACTGTTTAGTGATTTGTGACTGAGATTTGATATTCCTCTTCCCTCCCTGCCCCCTTTGCCTGTGGGTAGGGACCATCTTGCTTTGATTGCATTTAAGTTGTCTGGTGGCCTTGTTGGCTGAACAGCGAGGCACAAATGTTCCAAATAAATAAATCTCTATACACAGTATAGAAAATTAGTGATCTTTGTAATGTGTGATTTTGTAGTACTACTTTGTAGTAGGGTGGCCAGATACCACATAGTATTTGAGCAAGAACAGAAGACCAAATAAGTGAATAAGGCTAAAACCGGGGTGGGGGGTTGGGGGTGCAAATGTGATTTACAAATTATGTGCTATAAGAAACCAAGAAACCTCCTGCTGGGTCAGACCAAAAGCCAAGAGCCTTTCTTCCTCCAGTAGCCAATCAGATGCCTCCAGGAAAGCCAGCAACAGCCCTCCCCAATTGTTGCTCCCCAGCAACTAGAATTCAGAGACATACTGCCTTTGTACAAGGATCTATCACTTCTCCTTTGGGCAGACCACTCCTCCATGATTTTGTCTGATTCCCCTATAAGCCAGTGACCATGAGCACATCCTGTGGCTTTTTAGTACCATGCATTCATTATGCACAGCATGAATAAATACTTTGTCCTATTCTGCTGCCCACTTATTCCAATCCAAATTGTACATTTTAAAAACTTCTCTATAAGTTAAGAATGCACATGATTTGCAGTGCATGTTTACTCAGGAGTAAAACTTAAGTTTAGTAGGACTTGCCTAGGAGTGTATATAAGACGACAGCCATATTCTGTTTTTGTTGGTCATGGGGAAATGCACTGAACTATTGATTCTATATGGATGCTTCAGTTGCGAATCCTGCACTGCACTACATGACCCTTGGGGTGCCTTCCAACTCTACAATTCTATGATTCTATGAGTCCCTCCCCATGGTTGCTGACCCACTTTCTGGTGCCTGAGATTTCATCAGTTATTTTGCACACACTTTGAAGGCTCTTCTTTTGCTAGAATCCTTTTGTTGAAATGAAACCTGAGGTTACCCAGATGCTGAATTCCACATCCACCCTCCAAATTTTGATGGCTTTTCCTTCACTTGCCCCACCTAAGTCACGCTTGGTCCTAGACAAAAACAAAACTTTATGGTCTAATACTGTGGTGAAATTTATCAGTGTGAATTGTTTTCTTCATTTTTTGGGAACAGATGTGGTGAAGCAGTGGGGAAAGAGAACCTCAGACCAATGATCGAGAGGAAGATCCCAGAGCTGTATAAACCTATTGTGAAAGTTAACAGTATTTGAAGGCATAAGAATAGCCCTTTCCCCCACACGCCCAATAACCATAGCAAAATACAACATAGGATGGGGGTAAGCAATATGGTTCACTCCAGATGATCAGCCTCAGTTATCATGGCCAATGGTAATTTTCTTCTTATTTATTTTAGGGGCTTATTCTAGTTTTAGGAAATATGAAAATCTGCCTCCACAGATAAGAGCAGCTTCATGAAAAGGAGCTATCTACTTGCAGTGGATCAAATACTAGAGGATATACAAATGTTGTTTGAAGTCAAAAGATTTCCCTTCTCTCTGTACTCAACAATCACATCTTCTAAGGGAGGGGATATTGAAACTACTTGCAGAAAAACAGATATTTTATTATAAATTGACATGGATATTTGCATTGTCAACACAATGTTCCTTGTATGTATGTATGTATGGGTATCTATGAAACTTCATCTGTGGATGTTTGACCATACCAAGCTCAAGGAAATGTTCCTGAATGCAACCCAAAGCCCCTTCTGCGCAATCATGAATTTGCATCAATGTTACATATAAGCACATTCACCAAGCAGCAGATACGAACAGTTAACCAAAACAAATCAACCCATTTTTTAAGCACATTTCTATTGCATTTATTGTGATAAGAAACTTACAGACATTTGTATCTAGATTCCAACTTATATAAAATTATTGTTGTTTGAATGGGAATAATCTTATTGCTTGATGGAAAGTACTGCAATGGATCTGGTAATAACTTTTCTCATGGAAGTGGATGCCATTATGCTTTTTAACAAGTAAGATAAATTTGCATGAGGATAAAACAATGCTCTGTAATATTTAAATCTCATTGGATGGAGGCCACACAAATGCAAAATGGAGACCACTCAAGTGAGAACAATAAAACTCCATTTACTGCAGAAGTTATATTTCTTCCTATGGGCTACAGGGATTCATTCTAGTTAGAATATTTTATTATTGTAATTATAATTGTTATTTAAAAGTAGCACTATATTTCTTCTAATACTTGAAATACAGTGTTGGTTCCTGACTTTTTTTTTTGCTTCATGTTGGGTGGGACTCATTTCCCTTCAGTTCAGTGTTCACGAGAGGCAAGGTAAAAGCTTTGCAAATTTGTATACATATATGTATATGGTAGGGACGCGGGTGGCGCTGTGGTCTAAGCCACTGAGCCTCTTGGGCTTGCTGATCAGAAGGTCAGTAATTCGAATCCCTGTGACCCATTGCTCGGTCCTAGCTCCTGCCAACCGAGCAGTTCAAAAGCACGCCAAAAAGTGCAAGTAGATAAATAGGTACCGGGACTTGCGGGTTAGCGCCATCGGCGAATGGCGGAGTTCCTCCGACCGGAGGAACTGGCTCCGTGGAAACTGGGTCTTCCCGCCACGGCGAAGGTGGGGACCCGCTAGAAATCCCAGGCGGAGGAAGCCTGGGAACGTGGGGTTCAGCAGGGCACCAGGAGCGCCTCCCCTACTCACGGGGAACCCCATTTCGGGGTTCCGGAGTGAAGTGGGGTGAGTGGCGCGGTGCTGCGAACTGATTGCTACTTTCACGGAGTGAAGCCGCACAGCCATTGCCGGAGAGCGCTGACTTTTTCCTGTGGACAATTGGATTTAAAACAAGTACCCGTGAGTAGAAACGGAAAATTGGATCAAGAAATACCCTAATTTGGCACCGAAGCGGGAAGGTTCAAACAGGAAGTCCGCCTTCCGCTTTTTGTACATAGACTGAAGCAAAAACCTTGTAAGCTAAAGTCCGGAAAGTCGTTAAAAAGTCTAAATTTCCTTCATTTATAACCACTAACACCCCCTTGGAAGCAGGAGAAAAGGGGGGGATCTTTGTTTAAGCCTGCAGGAGAGGGAGTGAAGAAAGATAAGCTTCCACCGTCTCAAACCTGGGAACGGGGGGTCAGAGACAGAAATTGTTGGAGAGGTTCATTGACTGTGAATGGAATACTTTAACAGATAGCTAAAGAAGAGAAATAAACTGATTCCAGTGTTGCCTTTTGCATTCTAAAGAAACAAAATATCTGAAAAATGAAAGTAATTTTCCTTTGTTGGACTTAAAAAGATGGATACAAATAGAAATTGTCTCCTCTAGAGGGAGCTTGTTAAATTGTTGCTGCAGTCTACTTGAGGACTCTACAGCTGTGAGATTAAGATCGTGGGACCAGTCCTTTTGACCTCGAATAAAAATGAGCTGGGAGGAAGTTTTGGTGCTTGCTTTATGCAAGACAAATGCTTTGTTGGAACAGATGCATGAGAAGATGGATCTGATGAATGAGAAAACGGATTTGATGACTGTTGTGGTCAATAACTGTGGACAAACAGGGAATATTGATACAGAAACCATTCAGGGACCAACTCAGGAACCTGTATTGATGGGGCAAGTGCAGAAGATAATGGAGAAGGTTGCGGTTGCACCTCAAATAATACAAATGGAGAGATCCGAGGCCCTGCAGGAGCATAAGCCGTTGTCTTTGAAGATTGAAGTTGGAGTGGTCCAGGGGGAGTCTGGAGCTGAGGAGGTTCTTAACTTCGGAGGGACTTTGAAATATGCTCTTAAATATTTTTTGGATTACATTGATGACTGTGGGGAGTGGGACTGTGGGAAATGGGCTGGTTTGATGAAGGGAGATGGAGATAATATTGGGCTGGAACTTCCCAGAGACCTACTCCTCAATGAGAAAGGAAAGAAATTAAGAAAGAGACCAACAAAAGACAAGGAAAAGTGCAGGTATAAACAAGAAGAAGAAGATCTGCAGAAGGGACATGGAAGAGACTTAAGAGCCTCGGATATAAGATTGATGGACTAGATGGAATGGACAGTAAGGACTGACATGACCCGAGACCAGGAAGAAGAGACGCTGGATGAAGATTGGAAGAAAATTTATAAAGAAAAATTTTTATTTAGGGAATTAGCCTAAAATTAATGAATATTAGGGAAAATGTTGGAATGAAACTATATGGCTTTAATAGAAATGATATAAGGAGTTATGTATAATTGAGTATTAAGTTTCAAGCTCTAAGGTATTTTACGGTAAGATAAGGTTAAATAAATTAAGGCAATTTGAATAACAGAATATGGGGAAAGATGGAAAGGATTTGTTGAGTTAATTAATAGGTTAAATTGTTAAGATAAATTATTCAATAAAAATTGAGAAAGATAGAAAGAATTTGCTGAAATAACTAATTAAACTAGAATACAAAAAGGGAGGTGTGCAGAGGTCAATGAAATAAGGAAATGGAAGTTAAGATATGTAATATGGGATTTGTGTCTTTTTTTTGCTTTTTTTGCTGTATCGTTGTATTGGTTTTTATGCTTTGTTTTTTCCCCCTTCTTTTTTATGTATTGTAGTGTTGTTTCCTATTTTTTCTTTTTTTCCTGTAATTCTGAAACTTTTAATAAATATTATTATTATTATTTTTTAAAAAAGATAAATAGTGTAATAAATGTAGAGGTTACTCGTGCGCAAGTTGGTGCCACTCCTGGCTAGTTTGCCTTGTCAAACCTTTTCTGTCTGGACAGCCCTACACTTCGTGGCTGCTCAGTCGCTAGCAGAGTCCGTCAGTGGGCGTTTCTTAAACCTTTTCCAGCATAAAAGTTGTTTGACTCCAAGTCTCCTCCTACTCTCCCTGCGCGGAAGTCTTCTGCGCAGGGAGGGCGTGGGTAGCGGAGGACCCATGCTCTCCTCGCTGGTCTCCGGCGAGGAGTCCTGGAGCCCTCTCGCCGATTCCCCCATCTGCCCCCCCTTTATCCCTGGTGTTAGGCTGATTTCCTTCCCCAGCTGGTGAGCCGCCTCTCCTCCTGCTGGGCCCTTCTCCAGCATCGCTTGAGAGCCTCGCCTCCGCCTCTGGCTCCGATGTCAGTTCCCTGACATCCACCTCCCCCCCAGGACCCCCTTCACCCTCGGCCCAACCTTTGATCCAACTTCGTCCCTTTCCTCGGCCGACGATGCGGGGAATCCCCGGAAGGAGCTGTCGCCATCCTCTGAGGACTCAAAACCCGCTTCCCACCCGCTCCGATCTCTCCCCGCAGGGTGGGCCTCCCCGTCTGATTCTTCTTCCTCCGAAGCCTCTCCTCCCTCCTCTTCGGAGGCAGAAAAACCCACAAAATCCTCTTCATCGTCTGTGGTTCCAAATTGCTCCTCCCAGAATCTTGCTAGTGGTTTGGGTTTGTCCGGGAACAGGCTGTGGAATTCCTCCACAAGATACCCGTCATTGATTGCCTCCGCGGGAACCCACGTGTTTTCCGACCCGGGTTCTCCCTCCCAAGCTACCAGGTACTCCACCTGGCGCCCTCGCCACCTTGAATTGAGTATTTCCGTGGCCCTGTTGTGGTGTTCCCTCTCCTCTATCTGCGGGTGTGTGGTGACTTCGCCTTCCTGCCCCGGGACTCCCCGCCCCTCCCGGTACGGTGAGAGTAGGGACCTATGGAACACCGGGTGTATCTTCATGCTGTCCGGCAACTTGAGTTTGAATGCCACGGGGTTCACCTGCTGTGTTACCTCAAACGGCCCCAGCCGCCTTGGCTGCAACTTCTTGCACCCCCCCTTAAAGGGTAACCCTTGGGTTGACAACCACACCCGGTCCCCCACCCGTATGGTCTCCCCTTCTCTATGGTGCTTGTCTGCCTGCCTCTTGTAAATTTCCTTGGCCAGTTCTAAGTTCATCTTAAGTTGCTGGTGCAGGGCCTCCATTTCTTCCACAAACTGCTCTGCCACAGGTACGCTCCACCCTTCCTCCCCACTCCCCGGGAAGGCCCTGGGGTGACACCCATAATTGGCCATGAACGGGCTCATTCCCGTGGACACATGTTCAGCGTTATTGTACGCAAATTCAGCCAGCGCTAGTTTCTTTACCCAATCGTTCTGCCTCTCGCTGACGTAGCAGCGTAGGTATTGCTGGAGTACGCTGTTCGCTCTTTCTGCTTGCCCGTTGGTTTCCGGATGTCTCGCCGTCGAGAAGCTCACCTCTACCTGCAGCAAGCTCATGAGCTTCCTCCAGAACCGGGAAGCCCTTTCCCCCTTTGCCCTTTGGCAGCGGTCGCACCCCCATACATATTCCCGCACATCCTCCCTCACCCCTGGCCACCAGAACTGCCTGGTGATGAGCATCATGGTTTTGTGCTGTCCAAAGTGCCCAGCTGTGGGGTTGTCGTGGAGTTGTTTGAGTACCTTTCCCCTCAGGGTCTCCCCCGGTACATACAGCGCCCCCTTATAGTACAGCACCCCTTCCTTTTCCTCAAAGCCCGGCCAGTTCTCGTTTCCCAACCAAGGCCCCTCCACACACCCATCGGTCCTCGGGGATCACGTGTCGTATCTCCGGCGGTCCCTCTCCTTCCATGTACTCCGGCTTCCGGGAGAGAGCATCTGCTCTTATGTTTTCCTCTCCTGGCACGTATCGGATTTCGAAGGAAAACTTGGAGAACTCCTGTGCCCATCGAATCTGTCTCTGGTTGAGTACTCTTGCGGTCCTCCAGTACTCCAAGTTCTTGTGATCAGTACAAACCTGGATCTTGTGCTGTGCCCCTATCAGCAGATGTCGCCATCGGCGAAACGCCGCATAGATCGCAAGCAGTTCGCGGTCGTACACCGTATAGTTTTGCTCCAACTTGCTCAGCTTCCTCGAGAAAAAGGCACACGGCTTCCATTCCTGCTTGCTCCTCCCTGGCTGCAAAAGAACCGCCCCAATGGCTCTGTCGGACACGTCGGTCTCTAGCCTCATGGGTTTTTCCAGATCAACGTGCAGGAGCTGCTCTTCCGAAGCGAACGCCTTCTTCAGTCTTTCAAAGGATTGCTGGGCACTTTCTGTCCAGACAAACTTCTTTTTGCTACTGAGACAATCTGTGATGGGCGCTGTCAAGTGGGCGAAGTTCTTGATGAACTTCCTGTAGAAGTTGCTGAACCCTAGGAACCTCTGCACGTCCTTCCGGGTTTTGGGGGCCTTCCATTCCAGCACCACCTGCACCTTGCTTGGGACCATAGCTAGGCCTTTGTCTGACAACTTGTACCCCAGAAACTCGACTTCTCTGGTGTGCAACTGACATTTTTCCAGCTTGACCCACAACTGGTGCTTCTGCAGTCTCTTTAGCACTTCCCTGACGTCTCTGACATGTTGCTTCTCATTGTCCGAATAGATTAAGACGTCGTCCAAGAAGGCTACGCAGTTCTTGTACAGCAGGGACCCCAACATGTGGTGCATGAAAGCTTGAAAACAGGCGGAGCCCGACTGTAATCCAAAAGGCATAACTAAGTACTCAAAGGCCCCCCAGGGGGGTGAACATTGTGGTCTTCCATTCGTCCCCCTCCCTCATCCTAATCAAATTGTATGCTCCCCTGAGGTCCAGCTTGGTAAAAAATTTTCCCTGCCTCACCCGTGTTAAAATGTTGTCAATCGTGGGCATTGGGAAGGTCACGGGTTCTGATACCAAATTTAACGCCCTAAAATCTACGACCAATCTGGGCTGGTTATTTCCTTTTTTGTCCACAAAGAACACTGGACTGCCCCCCACTGCCTTTGATTCCCTTATGAACCCCCTCTTCAGGTTCTTGTCAATAAACTCCCGCAACTCCTTCATCTCCCTGTCCGACATGGCATACAGTTTACCCACTGGCAGCTGAGCCCCTGGGAGCAAGTTGATTTGGCAGTCAAAGGGTCTATGGGGGGGTAGTCTATCCGCCTCCTTCTCGCTGAAGACCTCCTGCAGGTCAGCATATTGTGGTGGCACCTCCCCTTTCGGCTCTACCGCTATCCCAGCCACCCTGGCCACGGTCATCCTTGGGGTTTCCCCCCCTAGACAGTGCTCCAAGCAGTAAGATGACCCAAAGGTGACCGTCCGCTGATGCCATGCCACTACTGGATCATGTAGTGCCAGCCAGCTCATCCCTAATATTATTGGGGGTCCTGCCAGTGTGGCTACGTGAAAGGCAATGGTCTCCGTGTGCCTGGAAACCCTCATTCTCATTGGTGGGGTGTGGTGCGTCACTTCCCCTCCCAGAAGCTCCCTGCCATCAATGGTGGTCACTTGCAAGGGAAAATCCAGGGGCAGCAGGTGGAGCTGGTGCTCTAGGGCGAAGTCCTTGCTGAAGAAATTGCAGGAACTGCCTGAATCCAACAGCCCCTTCACCTTGACTGGGTGCCCATTTGGGAGTTCTAGCACCACTTCTATGGCTATGGCCGCTCTGGGGGGGTCTGGCTGGGGTACTTCTATTGGCTGCTGGCCTGGCTGCTGTGCCCGCAGAGTGGCAGCCAAGCGTTGGCGTTTCCCTGCTCCTGCCCCTCCCCCCCTCCTCACCTCCAGCAGCTCCCACCATTCCTTGCCAGGCCTTTCTTTGAGGGCAGACCCTGGCAAAATGTCCTGGCCGCTGGCAGAGGAAACACTTCTTATTAGTTTTCCAATCCTTTCCCTCCTTTTTGCGACCTTCACTGGAGTTTGAAACCTCCCCCGCGCGCGCCATCAATTTCCATTGGCTCCACTGGCGGGGAAGGCTGCCTCGGTATTTCAGGAATGCGGTAGTCATGGCAACGTTCCCATCTCCTTTCGCTCTTCTCCTGAGCCCGCGCTTCCTGTCTTACGCCAATCGCAAGCACAGCCTTGGTCAGCTGATCCATCAACTGCGGGCGGGGCACGCGGGAAAGCTCGTCCTTCACCGTTGGGGACAATCCCTCCTCAAATAACATCTGAATGGGTTCCGAGTCCAATTCCCACCCGAGCCGGTGGACTAACATGGCAAAGCGCGACCAGTAGTCTCTAACTGACTGGTTCCCCTGTTTACAACCCATCAGTTCCCGCCGAGTCACACTTTGCTGCACATCACTGGAATACATCGCATCCATCGCCTGGAAGAATTTCCTCAGGTCTTTCAAGGCGGCATTTTGCGTCGCCATTAGGGGCCTGATCCATTCCCTGGCCCCATCCTGCAGATGCCCGACAATGTAGGCCACCCTCTCCCCATCGTCCGCAAAATACTTATGTTGCAGTTCCAAAGCGTATTCTATTTCCGTTCGGAACGCGTTGTAGTCCTGGGGCTTCCCCCCAAACTTGTGTACCAGTCCCGGTACCTTCCTTGCTACGGGGGTGGGTCTGACCTGTGCATCGTGAGCCCGCCTTTCTTCCAACCGTGCCGTGAGAAGAGCCACATGCTGTTCCAAATCTCGGTTCCTCTCCACCAGATTTTGCACTCCAGCTGCTCCCTCCGTGGCGCCGGCTCCTCCGGTTTGGCTCATTCTGCTGCCTGCCTGTCGCTGCGCACAAGCAATGTCAAAGACTGACGGATTGCTGTAATAAATGTAGGGGTTACTCGTGCGCAAGTTGGTGCCACTCCTGGCTAGTTTGCCTTGTTAAACCTTTTCTGTCTGGACAGCCCTACACTTCGTGGCTGCTCAGTCGCTAGCAGAATCCGTCAGTGGGCGTTTCTTAAACCTTTTCCAGCATAAAAGTTGTTTGACTCCAAGTCTCCTCCTACTCTCCCTGCGCGGAAGTCTTCTGCGCAGGGAGGGCGTGGGTAGCGGAGGACCCGTGCTCTCCTCGCTGATCTCCGGCGAGGAGTCCTGGAGCCCCCTCGCCGATTCCCCCATCTGCCCCCCTTTATCCCTGGTGTTACGCTGATTTCCTTCCCCAGCTGGTGAGCCGCCTCTCCCCCTGCTGGGCCCTTCTCCAGCATCGCTTGAGAGCCTCGCCTCCGCCTCTGGCTCCGATGTCAGTTCCCTTACCTCCGGCGGTAAGGTAAACGGCATTTCCGTGAGTTGCTCTGGTTTCGCCAGAAGTGACTTAGTCATGCTGGCCACATGACCCGGAAAAACTGTCTGCATACAAACACCGGCTCCCTCGGCCTATAAAGCGAGATGAGTTCCACAACCCCAGAGTCGTCTGTGACTGGACTTAACTGTCAGGGGTCCTTTACCTTTTTTATGTATATGGTACTGTGAAATGGTACTGTTTTGGAGAGTATTGTGGGAACTTTTAGCACTTAGCAGTTCTTTTGTTCTTAAATGGCCTAAAATTAATCTATGAAATTAAAAAATGTAAATAAAATACTGTATTAACAGGGGAAAGAAGATTTTATTTAGAGTCCAAACATCACTGTTTTTCTCTCTTCCAAACACCATGCTAGAAAAAGTTAGAATTAAAAATTAATCTGCTAAGCGTTGTTTTAAGTGATCCTGATTGTACATTATGGAAATTACCCAGTGTTAAATAGATTTATAATTGTTAGGAAGCTGATATTCCTATTAACATCATGTATATTTAATTGCTTCTTTGGAGTTAGTTGTAAAAATTGATTCTTTATTTTTGTGGTGTGTGCACAGGAAGTTTTAAGAAAAGGCAAGGCTTGTGTGCACCATTTGCTTTAATTGCCTAAGACCTGGGGCCCTGAGACCTCCATTGGTCTTGGGACAATATAAAGTCTGACATGTCACTCTGCTTCTCCTTCCAAAAATAAAATTGTTAAGTAAGTGATGCCAGTGAGACAGTTGGGAAAGGGGGATAAGTACAGGTAAGGTCTGAAACAAGAACAGGAATTGGGGGAGTATGGACATCTTTATGGCTGCTATATAACCTAGCCAGCTTAAGTTTAGGTTAGGGTTGCCATATTTAGAAGAGCAAATAAAGGACAATTTGCTAGTGGGGTGGGTGGGTGGAAAAGTGCATGTGCTGGGGTTACCAGGCGCTGGAGTGACATCGGAGGGAAGAAAGCAGCAAAATTTGCATGCAAAATGGGGGGGGGGGGGGCATATAGAAAGAAAGAAAGCTGCCAGTTTAATAGTTTTGTTCAATATTAATAAGTTGTTTATTTTAAGAGTGGGGGAAGGATTTAGATACCTACCATAGTGAGGATCTGAAGGCACATGTAAAAGAGGGGGAAGTGTTGCAGCTCACTACTTCTGCAAGCAAAAGATCCCAGATTCAATCCCCAGCATCTCTTGGTAGGACTGGTAATGATTTTTGCCTGGAAAGCTTCTGCCAGTAAGTGTTGGCAATTTTGATCTAGATGGACTAATGGTTCTGATATGCTTCCTATATTCTAAGAACCGACAATGGATTCCAAAGCTGTGGCATGTGCTGTTGTTGCAGAATCCTAGTTCTGTAATTTGAATGACTGCTAAAAATACCAGAAAATTAAAGTTTGGTTCAATTGCCCTTTCCCCTTACTTAAGATGGGCTGTTCACTTTTTTAAAAAATAATGCTTTTAAAGCTCTGTATGTTTATCTTTTAAACCATTAATTCATCAAATACCTTTCTTAAATGTCTGGAAAAGAATAGCTTTCCATTTGCAAAAGAGCTTTCAGATTAGCCCCACTATAAGATTATGCTTTGCCAAAACTGGGTGTGCCTACTTGGGACACCTGTTCTCTCTGCTTCATCAATTTTGTTCAGATTTTATTTTTAGGGTCTCAAACCCACCTCTAACGGGGGGAACAAGTGTATTGGAGGAAAGGCTGTAGCCAGGGTTGCCAACTTGAATAAAATTTGAGGGGCAGGTCAGCCCCCCCCCTACTTTATCATTGATGACATGACATGGTGCATGCACATACTAGCTGTGGAATCTCGACTGTAATGTTTTAATTCATCTCGCCTCTTGTTCAGATCAGATATGAAACAAAAAGCCCTCTCCATGAGAAGACTTGATTAGTCAAACAAAGCAGGGAGAAATCCTTTACTGGGCAATTAAATTCACTTAAAACCAAGAATTGAGAAGAATGGCCTCTGGTTTCATCTATCAGTCTTTCAGGATGATGGATTTATCATGCAAGGAATGTGCAGTTTTCATTCATTTGTTGACTTTAAAATAGTCAGCATTTAAATGAGCATTTCCCCTAATATAGCTAATTTCTGCAAGCAATTTCCCCTAATATAATGCATTTCTGTAAGTTATTTTCACAAACACCTTTATTTTCAGAATACACATTCGTGTATTTTCACAACTTTGTGAAACACATTTTTGTTTGGAGAGTTGCATCTCAAAATTTTGCATCTCAAAAATTAGAGAAGTGTGAATTTTGAAGGATAGTGACATGTTAATTCACTTTTTGCTGGCACTTATGGGCTCCCTAGCACCACATGGAGCTTGTTCAGAACCCTGAAAAATAAAGCAAGGGCTTCTTCTGGTTGCTTGGGGGGCATCTATTTTGGAGGGGGAGGGCAGACACTGCTTTGTGGTGGGGGGCATAGGAATTTTGCTAGCTTTTTTTGTGGGGTGGGTGGGTCTAAGCATTGCCAGCTGCTCTTGTGAGAAAGTGGTAAACTGTGGCACCCATAATAGTTTCTCAGTTTTCCTGATGTGCTTCCAGGGCCAAAAAAGTTGTGCTTTATTTTAAGTAGGTAAAGTCAAGTCTATGTCTGGTTTAAAAAGAAACAGTTGCATCCAGTGTAGAGCTAAGTAACTCATCCTATCTGTGCAAGTTCGCTTGCACAATGGAAACTCCCCCCTCTTCTCACTTCCCCTTGAATTTATTCTAGAGTTCCCTTAGCATCCCCCCCCCCCCGAGCAGATTTGGAGAGGGCAGGGGTGCACATGGGAGCTGGGAATGGGGGGAAGTGCTGTTGCACAAGCAGAAATCCTTGCACTGCCACCTAAAGGTGGGAGCAGGGGAGGGAGAGAGTTTATATTTGTTCAACTGAGAGCAGCCAGGGAGCAGATTGAGCAAGCTCCTAGGTCAATCTGGTGCTGCTGTGATGAGATGTATCCAGTTTCCATTTATATTATAGTAATTATTTCTACCTTTCCACCGATACATATAGATGAGCACATAAACATTTTGTGCCAATTTGGTTTTTTTTTTGTTTGTTTTTTTGGGTAGTGCTACGTCATTGGCCATCCTAGCTTAACCCCCAACGCAGAAAAAGCGCAAGCTTTTAAAAAGTTATAATTGCTTCTTTTGTCGTGTTCCGGACACTCTTGAGAAAGCTCAGAATCCCGGAGCCACCTGTCCCTCTCTCTTCCAGGAAAGATGGCGGGTTTGGAGAAGTGGATTCACTTGGCTTCGCTTTGGCGTTGCGAGCTGCTGAAATGATGTACTTGGTGACCATGGCAATGTGGTAGGTCCTCAAGTCAGAAAGGGCTGCCACACACATGTTATATGCAGAACAGAGCTTCTCCTTGCCAGAGGATAGCACATGACTCCTCAGTGGGGGAAGCGACTGGATTTCCTCAATGAAGGCCTGATGGTGAGGGGGCATGTACTCCCTCATTCTGTGCAAAAATGTGGCTAGCAAAGGACGCAGAGAAGATGAGTGAGTAGGATTAATAGTTCAACACTGTGTGTTAATAACTAAATATTGTACTGTTATGCAGCAGGAATGGGGGTGTTGCTGGACTCCAGCTCCCATCATCTCTGCCCATTGGCCATGCTGCTTAGGCTCATGGGAGTTGGGAGTCCAACAATGTCTGCAGGCTCAACATTTTCCCCATCCCAGTAATAAATAAAGGTCAGGATGATAAAACCATACCTGGTGAACTATACCATTTCAGACCACAGGCGAATAAACTGTGTGTTTGTCTCCTCTCTTTTCTGTGATCCTTTCCTACATTGGTAGCCAAAGTTGGAACTTCAACTCCCATCATCCCTAACCATTGGGCTATGTGAGCTAGGGATGATGGGAGTTGTCTACAGCATCTGAAGGGTGCTTATAAGGTGCATATTGACTGTGCATATTGAAAAGGGAAGTGGTCACCTATACGTGTGGGTTTCCATGCAACCAGGGTTCGCAATCATGAATGCGTTGCCTGCTGCCATGTGTTGGAGGCTGGAGCCGTTGCTTCCTTGGCAGCCCTTCATCCAGCAGTACTGGCTTGCCCCCACAACTGCAGGTGCCTGGGGCCTCACGCAATCACCAGGTTCTGCACACATGCCGTGGGGGAAACGCTCTACATCTCCATGCCCCCTGGCATGTGCTTGTTATGTTATCAAGTGTCGGCGTGCACATGGTGGGGTGATGTAACATGTGCACACCAGGGCACCCATGGCTCCTCTACTGTGTCGCCTCTACAGTGGCCTCTCAGTGAATAGGGTTAGGGTTAGAGTTAGGAAGGAACTGGCAGCGGCTGTCCTCTGGGATCTTCTGGGTTCTGCACCTGCCAGGCATGATTCAGAGTGGGCCCCTTCCCACCCCATGATGGAGTTTGAGTCCCACTTCAACTGTCAGGTAAGGCTGATTTGATCCCCCTCCTCTTGTTCTCAATCTAGATATTCACTCATTCCTTCTTCCTTGGGGCAGGGGTGCACCATTTTGTGGTTCACTTCAGGTGCCAAAATGTCTTGGGACAGCCCTGCCACAGACCATCTACACAAACCACATGCAGTGCATGTATGTCTCCAGTTCATCAAAGCAACAGACTTACTGCTTTCCAGAAAGCAACAGACTTACTGCTGGATTCCAAGAAGTTCGTCAAAGGTGTGCAGTGTGGTGCTTTGTGCTGCACTCGCCCCAGAGAACACCAGAGGCTTGTCCGAGATACCCTCATAGATCAGCCCTTCTGGCAGGGCAGGAAGTTCCTGCAGCCAATCCAGAGCCTCACTGTCTGCACGCTGAGGTAAACCTGGTGCGGCCATGGATGGAGAGGGTGGGTGGCAGGCGGGCGGCAGGACATACGCATACATAAATTAAACTGGATATATGATTGTTTAACATGACTGAGAATCGATCAGCCAGGGACTGAGGACTTTGAGAGTTTACGATCAGAATGTGGAAAATATGAAAACAACAAGAGGGCAGAAATATAACTATCTGAGATGAGTTCTTCAGAGGTCCAGAATATGGGAAGTCCATGTGAAATTTAATAATTAACAATTCGGATTGTAATTTGGTTGTTTTTTAATTTAATTTTAATTTTTGAATTGGATTATGATTTGATTTGTTATAAATTGGAGGTTCTTAATGGAAAATTAATAAAAATAAATAAATTCAGTGATTTGGATGTTTGGAGTCACTAAGGCCATTGGTATGAAATTTTCCACTCCCCTTTCTAGCAGGGAAGAGGAAGAATCCGGTGGCATTTACCAGTCTTTTGGGGCCTGTTAAAGACATTCCTCTTTCAACAAGCCTTTTAGGTTGAGATTTTTTATCCCAGTTAGTATCTGTAATTGATTAGAATTGATTTTATGTATGTGTTGTTGTTTTAATGCTTTTAATGTTTTAGCTGCTTTTATACAATGCATACAATTGTTTTGCATATGCTTTTATTGCATTTTAAATAATTTCAAGATGCCTTGTGGGAAGCAATTCATAAATGAAATAAAAAGTTATCCTTGATGTTTTCACTGTGGACTCACCTCAACTTATTTTACAGGAAATGATGCATAAATGGAATCAAATGCATAAAGAAATAAGAGCTGCATGTGTGGCTGTTTCTAGAGTGCGGATTTTCTCAAGAGTGTACCCCTGCTTGTCCCTCTACTCCTACTTGGAAAACGTTTGGAGAGCAAAAAGTATACATGCTGTACTTACCCAGAAAAGAAGATCTGTATCACACCGTAGAATATTGCAGGATCCACGTAATCTAGGAAGTGAAGCACAAAAACAAAACTGGATCAAAAATAAATTTCACATTTCCAAAACTGGTGAAGTCAGTTTATTTATTTGTTTTATTAAATTTATATCACACCCTTTCTCCAAAGGAGCCCATGCAGAAAACACATCAATACCAAAACAAGACTAGTGAGATTTCTTGAAACAGTTGAAAACAATATTCTAAAAACACCAAAAAACTGCTCCTATTCTCAAATTAATAATTTCAGGGGTGCCAGGGGCAGGACTTTCAGCTCTCAAATGCTGAAACAGGAGTGTTTTATTTCTCCTAAAAGCTAATAATGAGGGAGACTGACACACCTCACTATGGAGGGCATTCCACAAATGAACGTTTCACCAAGAAAGTCATGTGACAGGTCACTGCCAAGCAGGCAACTCACAGTGGCTGCATTGGGTTTCCCTTGCTGATCCTATCCAGTGCTAGTTCTACTCAGAGCAAACCCATTACTAACTTAGGTTCATTCATTTCAATGGAACTACTTTGAGTAGCTGAATCTGCACTTTCTTTTTCACAGGGCAGTAATATTCTCAGGAAGTTGAATTCTGTTGTCAGGATCACATCATGAGACTTTTCCATATTTCTGCACAATCGTAGTCTACACACACAACAGTTGTCTTTTAGATAGCCAGCCTGTGGTTCTTCAGGGGTCTTTGGACTCCATTTCCCATCAACCCCACCCAACATGGGCAATAGTCAGGGATGATGAGAGTTGTGTCCAACAACATCTGGAGGGCATTTGCTACTCCCATTTTAGAGTGCATATCACTTCTATGCTATTTTCTCCAGCTTTCTACCTTTTCTGTCCTTGTGCTATGAATGGCTGAGCAATAGTTTGTGAATGAAAGTGGGAAATATCAAGCTTACCATGCATTTTCTTCAACACCCTGGCCATGTCTCTGAGACTGCTTGCCACATCCTGCAGTGCTTCTTCCAGGATTCTGTTGTCAGGCTGAAGCATGCCATTAACCACCTGTGGCACTGCCTGTGATAATGATAATAATAATAATAATAATAATAATAATAATAATAATAATAATTAATAAACCTTTATTGTCACTACACCACCTGTGTGCAGTGAAATTAAATGAGCCCCCTCCCCCCCCCCACATACAATGTAGGAGGCAGAGAGGGGTTGGATACAGACTTTTCATTCTAGAATCAAAGTGAACTGAGCACTTGTGCTTTCTATGCAATCAACACACAACTGAGATCCGTTGCACATTGTTTTGCCCCTGAAAAGCGTTTCTTGAGAAACTAGCTTCATTCCAAAAACAAAAGCTTATTTGCAGTTTGATTCTGCATTGCCCTGCAGTAAGGCCACATTCACACTCATACATTTAAAGCTCTATGATGCCAAAAGTCATGGCTTCTCCCAAAGATTTCTGAGAGCTCTGACCTCTTAAGAGTGCTGAGAGTCATTAGACAACCCAAGCTTAGTACATAACAGTGTAAAACCATTCTGGGAATTCTAATTCTGAAAGGGGTCTCTCCCAGCAGTCTTAACAAACTAAAGATTGCATAATTCTTCGGGGGAAGCCATGACTGTTTAAAATTGTATAGTATATGGTGTGAATGCTGCCTGTGCATCCATTTGAAAACAGATCAAAATAGACGGGGCATTTCTGGCAATGGAGTGTGTGTATCCACAATGATGTTGTGATTGCAATAATAGCTCCCTTATTCACCTAGGACATGTGCAGGCAAAAAAGGCTTGGGTAATCTAATCAGGGGGAGGGTAAACACACCCACCCTTGTGGATGACACAACTTTCTGCAGTTTCTCATTTTACCACTCTTAAATTGACTTTACATTTTTGCTGCGATCTGAGGTATTTTTTAAAAAAGGCTCATGGACTTCCGGTGAGGCAAGAAGGTGGGCGCCACAGCAGCATGGAGCTCCTGAAGACAGCCAGCTCCAACTGCGCTGCCTGGCTGGCCTCCAGTCTGCCAGGGCCGCCACTGCTACCACCGGAGGGGAACCGGGAGTCAGCGGGGGAAGCCGCCAAGACTCTCCCCAGTGACCTTGGCCGTGCCGGTGTGGTAGTGGCCCAAAGGCCATAATGAATGTGATAATATGAACCCCTATAAATCCTTGAGTATGCTTCTAATAGAGAAGTTATGGTAACCTGTTGTTTATGAAACTGATGATTTGGCAAGTCGCCGTGCCCCACTGGGACAGAAGGACAGCTAATACGTCAATCACAAAGATACAGTTCATAAGCTAGAACATAAGTTGATACATGGTGCAAATGGCTTCCCAACATGCATACTAACACAATCACGGTGAGAATCAAAGTTTAGTTAGCAATGCTTATTGCACATGTGTATTAAAGATGAAATGAGGTAATGACATACATGATTGGTGAAAACTGAAATCCTTTGTTTGAAATGTTATAAATACCCCTGCCCAGACCCTTGGGCGGGGTTGCAGTTTTGCAAAAAGATTCGACTGTAACCTATTGCTTTGCAATAAACAACAATGGACTCCTAACTCCTCTTGTCTCTGAGTTTTATTGGTGTAACTCAGAAGATAAGCCATTTTTGGCTTACAACACCGGCACCAAGAGCACCCAACCAATGCCCCGGCAGAGCTCCAGGGCCTGAAGGCCTCTGAAGCCAAAGGGAAAACAAAGAAAAAAGTGGCTGCCGCCACTGCCACCGACACTAAAGAAAGAGGAGAGGTAGGTGAGAACCAGGAGGGCCAGGGAGGATTTTTTACCTCTATTTTTTCTAACTCCTAAGAATTAAAATGGAGGTGCCCAGGAGGGAGACCGGCCACTTCCTGGGATCGCCACTTCAGCCCTGATTTTCTGTCCTTCTAATTTTTATTCTATTATTATTATTATTATTATTATTATTTCTCATTTTTTATATTAAATAGAAAAAAGAGAATAAAATAAAAATCTGAGTCCCTGTTTGTTTGTTTTTTTGGGGGGGAATCCTTCCTCCCCCCATCTTCCCATTACTACCATCAGCCTCTTTTAAAACAAAACTTTTCCATTCCCCCCTCCTTTCCCTCCTATTTTATTTTCCCCCTCTCAAAGCGAGTTTCTACATATATAGATATATTTTACTTTTATCATTTGATAGTATATATACTATATCCAGGCACCACCACCTCAACATCTTCAGTTTCTTCTTTTCTCTTTTCTTTTTTCGGTTTTGTTGTTTTTTGCTTTCTCTTTCCTTCTTTCTTAGCTCTTAAATTTCCTACTGCCTCCTTCCTCTCTCCTTTCTTTTATCTCCTTCCCCTCCAACAAATAATAATAATTAAAATAATTAAAATTACAGACCTATATCTCCCCACCCACTTTCAATAGTGGTCACCTACCTCATACATCCATAACTTGGACCACCACTGCAATTTTTTAATCATTACTGTTACTATTTCCACCCTCATCTCTCTCTCTCTCTCTCTCTCATTTTTTCGTCTTTATATTTTACTCTAACTTCCCTCCTTTTTTATCCCTTTTTATCCCTTTATCTCTTCCTCTCTCCCTTTTGTCTTTGTTTGGTTTGGTTTGGTTCCTGAACACAACCCTGCCTGTCTTAAATTTTTAACTCTCTAATCTCATTTCCCACCCTTAATTGGACCCACTCCTCCCCATTGTACGCACGGGGGTATCCAAAATTAACCCCCCCATCCTCCCTCTGGCCCCACCCCATCGGTCTCTTGCATCTCTGCCTTTTATGTCACCCTTTTATGTCAACTGTTTGTCTGTTGGTCTACTTGTCTGTCTGCTTGTCTGTTGTGCTCTCAGTACTGTTCACCCACACCACTGGGACAACTATGGAAACCCCAGAGAAGCCCTTAAAACACATCCCAGACGTGACAAAAATGGCCATCTAATCCAGATGCTCTGTAAAAGCCACCAATCAATAATGTTCAGCAACCCAACAACACCCAGGAACCACCACTACCACAACTCCTAACCATAACACGCTCCACACCAAAAGGACACCATGCAGATCTCAAACCAAGAGCATCAGGGAGATCGAGATGGCACCAACCAGGAAGATGGTGAACAGCACTGAGAGCACAACACACACACCCAAATGACAACAACCCAACAACAGAACGAGACCAGAGGGAAATGGAACTGAGATTAGCAGAACTACTGAAGACCACAGTGTCTCCCCTACAGATAATAATCAGTGACCTGACCTCCAAAGTGGGAACTCTAGAGAACAAGAAGCAAATGCAAGAAAGAATAGTAGAGCAGTACCGAGAGGAAAACACATGTGTGAATAATAAATTGGCTGAACTGGTAAGCTGCCTGGAAACAGAAAGCACAGAAATGAGAATCAAACAAGTGGACATTGAAGATTGCTGTGGACATTGCAACATTTGCTTCTGCAACTTTCCCGAAAAAGTGGAGGAGAAAAGCCTAGCAGACCTCATAGTACACTGGGCACAGTTACCCCATTCAAGACCAGGCCCGCCCTCTGTCCCCCAAGAACAGTATTTCTGTCTTGTCAGGAATCAAGAATCCATTAGCCGCCATCCATCCTCCAACCGCCTCCAGGCACTCGCACAGGACCTTCACCGCCTTCACTGGTTCTGATTTGAAAGAGAGATAGAGCTGGGTATCATCTGCATATTGATGGACACCCAGTCCAAACCTCCCAGCGGCTTCATGTAGATGTTAAAAAGCATGGGGGAGAAGACGGAACCCTGAGGGCCAAGGGGTCTGAACACTCATTCCCCACCACCACTTTCTGTTTTTTTTAAAAAAGATATTTATTGAGATTTTCAAAATGTTACAAAAAAGAGAAAAAAATAAAATAGAAGCAGAAGAGAGTACAAAGGATAAAAATAATTAACAAAATAGAAAAAGAAAGAAAGAAAAAAAACCAACCCCTTCCCACCATATACAAAAAAATTCCAAATGAGAAAAAATGACAGAAAAAAAGAAAAAAGAAAAGAAGAAGAATGCAAAAGTCACAAAACTTTAAAAACATTTAAAAACAAATTCATTATTTTC